ATGATTCCAGAATGAAAGCATCGAGATATATAATCAATTTCGTTGGTCTGTTTCCATCAAACTCGCTTTGTCTCCATGCTTAGGCTCGAAACTGAGCATTAAAACAACGCAACAATACGGTTGAACCTCTATGAACAAAAACAAAATCAACACAAAAAGTCTACCGTTATTTAGGTTGCAAAAGCGCAGCATTCTGAGGTATGCTTCTGAAATTAATTCGTATAGCTGATAAATTGTTACAAATCTTCTAGCCATCCTGACATTTTCCTGCCAGCTTGATTCACCTCGAAGTGGTGCTTTCAGAGATGCTCAACCTGCTCAAAGCAATACGTTTACCAGACCAAAAATTTGCTTTTCTATAAAATGTTTCAGTGATACACATTTCAGAGAAATATTTCGTTTAGTGACAATAGTGTTTAATTCGGTTCAATGTCCAAAGAATGCTGTGCCGTAGTAAATACATTTGTAAGCGCACATCAGACTATCATCACCTGAATAAATAAATCACGACAAACAAAAAACATAAAAAAAAAACATAAACTTTTTTTGGTGTTCAGAGTCTGAACGAGAACAGCGCATCATTGTTTAGGATCAACCACATGAAAGTGAACCATGATTTCAAATCAAAAAGAAAATCTATTTCTATAATCTAGTGATCAGCTGTTCTCATTCATCAACCATTGTGGAAATACACACAAATAAATCCACAACAATATTCAAATCGTAAAATCGACTGCAAAAAATATTCGAATCGTAAAAATTAGTCAGTTGATTTCCTCGCCGCAGTTTTTTTTCTATTAAAGTGCAACTCAAGAACAAAGCAAACGTAGGCATCTGGCCTGTATTGAAATGTTTGAATCAATAACCATCCTGAAGTGTCATGAACTCATGCGTTCATTCTAAAGCATGCCTTCGACTAGCTCCCGTCTTGGGCTGTTAAGATGTATCTCTCATAAATACCATATGACCATCATCATATCGTCGACCGAATCAACTATGCAATCAGTTCACCAATCAGTTTCTACCCACATAAAAGTGTCAACAAAAATTAACAAAATGAAGAAAACATTCGCGAATGTATATGATATATAATACAACAAATTCAAACCATGCGACAACATCGGATTGTGGTGCATCACAAGCTGATTCTTCTCAAACAACAACCAAAAAAACTTAGTCGCAATCAACGCAAATCAACGATCGTTTCTGATAATCGAGTAACTACGAATTCAAATCAACGTTAACTTGTGTTGAGCCAATCAATTCAGCAATGGATCAAGTTATCGAAACACTGATCCGTAGATATGTGGTAGCAATCGAAACTGCGGACATCACGAGATTCTGTGCTTTAAGTTGAGTCGAAAAGGCTCTCTCTCTCTCATCCCTTCACACACGAACTGCTCGTGTTGGTAAACTCTTATTTGCGTTTTAGTTGTTCACAGTGGCAGTTGTAACGTTTCGAGACGACGACGGCATCAGCATCATTTGCATAAGATTAACACCTCCAGTAGGAACACCTTCCATATTCTCTGAAACAACCTCTCAATATTCAAACTATGCTAGCAAACAGAAAAGTTTTCTGGTCAAGCGAGCACTGCGTACGTCTTCTTTATTCACAACTTGCAACTCTTTCATAGAAATCAAAATTTCCCATCTCATATAATATTCTCTAACATGATATCCTTCTTAAACGCATTAATAGAATCAAAGCATAGCAACACACTCAACATACTTATAGCTTTCACACTAACGATACAATGCATGTTTTTGGAAATTTTCTTAAGCGTTCCTAAAGTCATCTGTAGGTTGACAATATAGCAGAGGAAATTTCCTTAGCAAGTATGCCAGAGCTGGTATTTCGATGAGGTGGGAACATCCTATTGAACAATGCTCAACAAACAGTGCTGATAATCGTCAATTTCCATGATCATTTTTTGGACAAATTCGAACAGTGATGTGGGATTTCTTATGACCTATGAAAAATTGTGCTCAAGATTGATCTATCGATGTGATTGGTTTGATCTGTCACTTCCTACATAGGTCAGCGTTAGTTTGTATGGCAAAGCGCACATTCTCAAGCAGAACTTTCAGGCGTGCATTCAGCATTTGATGCGCAATACCTGAACGCTTTCTTCGACCGGTTGACCATATGGTATATTTGCCTGTAGCGGAAAGCTCACATACATTTTGCACAACACCATTTCGTTTCATTCGAAACTTAGTAGCGCACTTGTGATTGTAAATTCCTGCAAGCAATGTCACTAACCCAATTTTCAAGTTCTCAAAAACTATTTTGCCTTATCCTAATCACCCTCCCTCGAGATTATATCAGTCTTATCCGGTTATGGTAATGCGCCATCACTGTTGAATTTCAACAAAATAGTCCCCTTTACGATAATGTTCTAACACCGACATCTGAACGAAAATGAACAATATGAACGGATACCGCTTAAATTTCTCTATCAAACATATCTGAACTGAGGTAGAATTTGATATCTGTAATATTATAATTGGAATTAGCGATCGTTGACGAAGCAACAAAGGAAAGGCATATGAGACAAGTGGAACGAAACTTCCTCTGAATAAGAAACGATGACGGTGTATTTTCAAGATACAACATCTAATAATCACATGCAAATGGTTTAGTGAATGAATTGATATTGCTTATTGATCATGCAATCCACTTCTAATGTGAGCAGTGATAACAGAATACATCTCGTTTCATTTACTCGTCTAATCATCACATGAATTCGCTCGTTTTCAGCATTCCATCAAAACCGAATTGTTCATCAATCTAATCAAACTCATTCACTAGCACAATGCTCACATGCAAATTACCGATGTTCTAAACGCAAACTAATCATCAGTGGTGATGGCAGGTGTAGAAAAGCTATATTTGTTATTTGTTGTGACTCTTCATTCATTGATTTTCAGTGTTGCTGTAGAAAGTGTGTTTAGTTGTGCAGTTTGCTTTTCGTGTAATTGAAGCTGAATATAGCAAAGAGTTGATCACGCCTTCGAACACTGATAATTCAAGTGAGAACGACGGCATTCACAGTGAGTACCGCTTTATTTTTGGAAACAATGAGTGCATATGCGCTTAAAGACGCAATCCAACTTACCCGGACCCCAGTGAGTGATCAAAAACCAGAAAGACAAATAATGGTGAAAGCTGATTGACCAAATTGTAAACATAGAAATCAGTCAACTTGATTTTCAACTCTCCGGGCAATTGGCTGCTCATTACTGAAGACATCATGCAGTGCGTGCAAGCATTGCCAGATATTAGTGATTTGAAAAAGTCGTGAAAGGATACGTTCGTTTCTTGATGATTTTGTATGAGCACTCATGAAATAGCTAGGCTGCTAACTCGTTATGAAAGAACGTGCTACAAAAATGCTCACTGTGAATACTATTTGCCAAGACTCGATGAATATGTTCCCCAAAATGATTCGAATTGNCAAAGAAGAGTTGAGGTTATTTGATAAACTGATTTTTCGATCTGATGTGTTTATGAAGGTATATACAAATAATCGAGAATCCATGTTTTTTTTTTACAGCTCATACCACATACCACCAACAAATCCAGCCTTCCAACGTCGTGCCGTATCGGCTGGCTTGCCTCGTTGTGAACCACGTCGAACTGAGGTGCGCATTAAACATAATCTGGAAATTTGCATCGATATCTCATTAATCTTTCGCTTCTTATCAACATGACAACGATACAATGAAAAAGCTTCTGATTCAGTGAAAGAGGATTTATAATTAATCATGACTGGCTGCTGAACTGATCGAGGTGAATGCCAATCAAACTCGCCGAGCTCGTGTAACAAGAATCCAGTTAGCGCGAGCGAATATCAACGGATAATTTCACGTTTAAGTGGAAAATATTAAACATTCTGAATGGCTCATTTCTCATAGATAAAATTTGCTCGTTTCGTTGACTGTCTGAATATTTTTTGAAAGATAAACTTACCCGAATGCCATAAGAATACAAAGGAATGCACATGCGGCAAAAACGGCAATCGCCCAGTCGGGTATATGATGTCGTACTCTTGGCGCGGAGTACGCTTCTTCGGCTTTGGAAAGCGTTTGCTCAAAACGTTCCAACAAACGCTCCACCACCTTAAACTCATCATTTTACGCTGCCTTTCCAAATTCCATTTGGGCTGAACTGGCTATATTGCTAAGGATCATATAGATCATCATTTGGGGAGTTGGCTATGATTAATGTTGGTCTGAACATCAGATGAGTTTGACTTATATGGCAATTTATTGACCGATGTTCACTGGAATGTTTTGAACCAATATAATTTGTTTATTACCGCTTTCAAAGGATATCCATTCTCAAGGTTCTCGTTCTCTGCTTCAACAATTCGGGTTAACGAGTCGACGCGATATTTCAAAGGGAAATCTTCTTCTTTCGGATCCAACGCATCCACTTTCTCGACAACCAATGGTCCATATGAGGCGAAAATATACTGCAAAGAAAATGCATCACAACGATATTCATGACAAGTTTTCATCTGAATTTAAATAGACACCAGAAAACTGAATAAATCAAGATAAAACTCAACTAACCGGTGCAGGAATGAGTGGTATGCCAAATGAATGCGCCATAAGATTTCGACTTATCAGCTGAAAAAAAACTGATTTAATTTTGAATGATATTGGTTGATTTACAGTGGAACTGATTGTATCAGATCGATCTCGGCGATTCAAGAAGTGAACTAAAAGTGATAAGAGGGATAAGATGGAAACCTGATCTGGCCTCCGAAGTAAGATCAAAAAGAGTACGTCCTCATCGCATTCACCCATTAGCCACCGCTCTCTGATGAGACGAGCGAAATGGTCACCATAATGTTGCACGGATTCTCTGAAAGATTTTACACAGTCGAACGAGCGATTCATAAATTTCTACAGATCAAAGTCGCATACTTACAAAAAACAATTTTTTTTTCGAAAAATCGAAAGAAAATTTTTCTCGACTTTTGAAAATTCATGCATTCACTGCGAAAACATCGAATGAATTTCAGCACTTCAACTTTTTTAATCGATACAGCACTACTTCATTGCTACGTGATCATCTGATAAGTTGGTTGTTGATACGAACTCACTTGCTCTGCAGAAGAGAATCATGACTTTTCGTATACCTCAGAAGTGTTTCATTGGCAGGGCAAAATTCACGACTGAAAATTGCGATGTATATTACATTTGAGCCAGTCATCACTGGGTGAACCTTATAATCTACTTGGAGCATAGTATGATCCTAGTTATCAATGTAATAGAGTTTTGTCCTCTAATCCAAAGTAAGATATTCACCCTGGAATGGTGTTGAGCTTCGAGAGCATCTATGTGAACGTCGATAATGAAGACCTTACCTATACAAATGTGAAACACCTGAATCAACGGCCAGCATATGACGAAGAAACGCAAATCCGAAACGATACCAGCAAGGACGTGGCTAAAAAATGTACATCGTTCTGGTGTCATGCGTGTCCAACATCGCAAATTTACGTTTTTTAAATGCATTATTGGACTTGAAATTCCCGAAATATTCCACAATTTCTCACATTACTCAATGAATCTCTGGCCTGCGAAGGATGAGTAAAATTCACTCCTTTGATCAACTCACTTGGTCGTGTCGGCAAATGCAGAAATCGGTCTTATGCGAATAGATATCTTCAAGTTTATCTTTGATCACTTCAACTGAAAATAGATATCTTCAAGTTTATCTTTGATCACTTCAACTGAAATGAACGATTGGGCGAATTGAATCTGATTCAAATTACATCGTTCAGTCTCATTGAACACGAAAATAAAATATTAAGTGTGTTTTGAGCTGTAAATCTGCGGGTGGTTAATTGCACTGATTCTGAGCGAAATACGATAAGAAACCTTCTCATTTTATGATTTGAAAGTCTGTCAATTTCACCGTTTCAACTTTTCATTGCATTTGACATATGCTCAGAAACACGCAAACTCTATCAGTGTTGAAATTAATCCATCAGTTGAATCGTTTGATTCTTGTAACGATACCAAACATTGTGATAAATTTCTGTCGAAAGCAGACTGCGTTTTGATGTTTTTCATTAACGATGTGCTGCTGCTTACTTTTGCATATTATATTGATAAAAGTTGAACGCTTGTTGCATCACTAAGCGGCTAACAACGCTCGTTTATGAAGCACTTTCATTCGTTCAAATTGGACTTTTTAAACGTTCATAATACGGCCAAGAAAATGAGCATTAGCTATGCTCTATGTCACATTCCATGAATGTTTCACGCATTCTTTCAGCAATGTCTTGAGGAAGAAAGACGAATGAGTGAACAATTTGATGCAGAAGCAATTATAATACTGCGAAAGAAAATTGCTTGCAATTTCTTCAATGATGTTACTGAATACATGCACTTTTTTGGCAATTGCTAAAAAAATGTTTCTTCAACTGTACACGAATAAATNTTTCATTTAAGACACTGCTAGAATCATTTCGTTCAACACCTCTTTCTTACCGATAATTTCGTTGCAGCAACGACTAATCGTCGCTTGACAGATTGACTTAATGAGACTCAGTAAAGGTGAGAAATTTCACGAACGCATGCTCATTCCAAAAAGCTCCTTTTGAGATTCAAAAAAAAAGAGTTGACCAAATGAACGTAGGCTAATTTATACCTTCAGACATGCTGATCACTTTATCCGGATCGCACACTCTCACGCTTTGTCGTAGTAATGGGTCGTCAATACCGCAGTGTATCGCATCCGATACCAGTGGATATGCACAAGGCGTCACGGACGAAAGTCGTTCAGCACTGAAATTATTCCACAACATTATCATGGAACATTGAGTCAGGTTTCTAAACTATACAGTTCAAACCATTGCGAGAATAAGTTCAAAGGTTGTCAGGTGATGTCGATGAGCATTTTATAAGAACACATGAATTACAATGATGATAGCGGCATGCTGAATGCAAAATGAACATGCCAAATGGTATGGTAATAATCTTGCTAACAATAAGCCAAAATTTAACATCATTCCACCAGTGCACCACGTCTGTATCACGAATGCTTTGTGGGATAGGTTTCAAAATGAATTTTTTCGCTCACCTTTTCAGGTAAAAAATGTTCGGATGGAAAAAACTGAAACGTGCAGCACTGACGACCAATTAACCATGTGCAAGGTGCAGCACATTTGATTGCAAGATGAACATAGGACTGGAAAGAAGGAAAAGCAGAACAGAAGGAAACAAATATGGAATCGGCGCTTATTCTCGCTTGAAAACTGATCACTAATAGATTAAACAATCGCTTTTAGCGAAATTCGCTTCACAACTGAAGTTAGCTTCAACTGAAAAAACTGTGCAAGTGATTTCATGGAATCCCAGAATTCAGCAGTGGAATATCTTCTTGTTAATGTTTCTGTCTGACAGACTAACCTCCCCCGTTCTGGATTTTGAATACCATTTGGAGCAAAATCGAACTAAGCAAGAGATTTAGTCACGCAAAGATCCTTTTTAGTTTTGATTCATTTCATTTGAATTGCTACTTGATTGCTGTTTCGTTTGTTGTAACCATCCAGCTTCCTCCTAATTTATTCCCCTCAATTTTGTCTCATTGAAAAGTACACAAGAGCCTCCGTCCCATCGTTATTCTTGGCAATTAGTAGGATGTTCGCTGATTTTTTCGAACTGCTGCCAATAAGCAAAACTCACTCTTGTCTCTGCAGATCAGTGTTTTTTT